TCCTCTCCTCTCCTCTCCTCTCTTCTCTCCTTTCTTTTTCTCTTTCCTTCCCTTGCCCTCCCTTTCCCTCTCCTTCTTTCCCTTCCCCTCTACTCCTGTCCTCTCCTCTCCCCTTCCCTTTTCTTTCCTCTCTTTCTTTTGAGACAGGGTCTTGCAGAGTTTCCCAGGCTGGGCTGAAACTTACAGTTGTCTTGTCTCAGCCTCCCAGGGTGCTTGGGTTCCCACAGGAGTGTGCCACCATGCTCACCCAACCTCTCTTCTCTTAGGGTCCTGCACTGAGCCTGAGATTAAGTTGACATGTGATAGAGTAACAGAAAAGCATACAAATTTAAAATAAGTCTTTCGTAATGTGGGAGCCAGTGTAGGGAAACGAAGGCTCAGAGAAGCAGTTGAAGTTGAACACAGACCGAACTGGACAAAGAATAGCAAGATGTTAAAAAGCAACTAAATGATGTGGGGCTTCTAAAGAAAGGTGAGAATTATTGTAACAAAGTCTGTTTGGGAAGAATTCTTGTGGTCTCAGCTTTCCAAGCTTGATGACTGAGATTGCTTCCCTGCTGGCACAGGGAGGCCAAATTTCACACTACAGTTTTACCTGCTGCTTTTCAGATACAGGACAAAGGTCAACCTAATCTTGTACCTGCTTGTATTTATTTTTGAAGTGCCTTTAACTTAAAATAGTATGCCAGAGCAACACATTTGGGGAGATGTGTTCTGATACCTGTCAGCAGCAAGGTTAGGTAGCTATAAATAAATAGGCAGATATACACACCTGTTCTCCCCCACCCCGTTTATCTGCCTGTCTGCCTACTTACCTGTCTTTCTCCCTCCCTGACAGTTAAAGAGGCACGTTGAGGTATTTGCAGGTAAAATGATCAATTTGCTTTAAAATGCTCCAAACACATTGAAGGGAGTAGATAAAATAAGAGCAGTGGCCATTTTTAAACCAGTTAATGTTAGAGTCATGCTATTATCACTTTTAAATACTGTAGCACTTTTCTTTTTATTTATTTATTTATTTTTCCGGTACCGGGAATCAAACTCACGACCTTGCGCTTGCCAGGCAGGAGCTTTGCTGCTGAGCTAAATCCCCAGCCCCTGTAGCACTTTTAAATGCTTAAAATTTCTGTAAAATTTCTTTGAAGCCTTACCTTTTTGCAAGTAGACGCCATTTTCTCCTATCAGATCATCGAAGATTTTTTAACAGTGTAGAGGGTGAGATGAAAGATTTAATGCATTGCTGGGTAGCTCTTCCAGAAAGCAATTTGGCTTTCAAGGGGCTTAAAATAGTGCTCGTATTTGACCCTGTGATTCCATTTGTGGGATTCTGTACAGAGAAAATTGTTGTGAATATCAAAAGCTGTATACAATGATGTGTACTTCATGGTTATTTTAGATTTGAAATTTGCACGTACCCTGAATGTACAGTAGAACAGTTAATTGAATGGTGGGATATCAGATGATAGAATATATTGCAACCATTATAAAGGAAATATACAGTTTTAAAGATACATGTTACAATGATTGGGAAAATCATGTACAATAATCAGATGATAGAATATATTGCAACCATTATAAAGGAAATATACAGTTTTAAAGATACATGTTACAATAATTGGGAAAAGGAGGCTAAAATTGTACTTAGAAGTATATAAATAGTGTACATTTATGGAAAATATATGCATGAAAAGAAACACTGGAAAAATATGGCAAAATGCCATCATTCATTGTAATTCAATGGTGGACCCACAGTGAATGAGTGTATTTCTATAGTCCTTATTTTCCAGACTTTAAAAATCATGAACATAAACTTTTTCTGACTTTTATAGAAATCTAATTAACATACCATAAGCCTTACCTATTTATGAGTATAGTCTGGTGTATATTATAAGTGTACGCAGTCATACCATCTCTATCACAATTGTTTTATATGCTGTGACCCTGTGAAGAATCTCATAAATATTTTTCAAGTATACTTTATTTTAGATCAGTGTTGAATTTATAGGAAAATTCCGATGATAACACCATATGTGTATATCCTGTATCCATGTTTCCCTATTATTAACATTTCATACTAACAAGGTACATTTATTTATTAGTCAGCTTTCCATGACTGGGACAAAATATCTGATATACTCAGCTTGAATGAGGAAGGATTTCAGAGGCTCAGTCCATGGTTGGCTGGCTCTAAGGCAGAAACACCATGGGAAAGGGTAGAGGGAGGAAAGCTGCTCAAGTCATGGCAGCCAGCAGCGCTGAGAGAACAGGAAGAGGGCCAAGGAGAGAGGAAGGGGCCCACACAGGATATCCCACGGTAAGTAAGGCAAACCCCAGGGACCTACTTCCTACAGTTGGACCCTGCCTCTTAATAGTGTTTTCAGCTATAAACTCATCAGTGGCTGAGTTTTGGGGGGCATTTTAGATCCAAACCATAACAGTACATGTCACAACTAACGAACCAAATGTCAGTACATCATCATTACCCAAAGTCCATACTTTGTTTAGATTTCCTTAGTTTTTAATTTGATTCTTTTTTTTTCTGCTTCAGGATCTCATTGAAGATATGACGTTACATTTAGTTGGTGTATTTGGAACTTACTTTTTAATTGGAAAAAACTAAAATAAACTCTGTTTTTATTTTATTTTATTTTTTCTGGTACTGGGAATCAAACTCATGACCTTGCGCTTGCTGGGCAGGCGCTGTGCCGCTGAGCTAAATCCCCAGCCCCATAAACTCTATCTTTAAATCCTTCAAATATATTAGCTCTCTCCTTGCCTCTTGGTCTTCTAGTTGCTGTTGACTTGTTGACAAAGACCATGTTTTATATTAGTTCTATCTCTGTCCTTCCCTGGCATCTTACCTTATGAATTTTCTTGGTAAAAATCTGCTAATTTAGTGACTGGCCTTCAATAACTAAATGGAGTAGAAGGGAGAGAGGAAAAGAGAGAAAGAAGGGACAGGAGAAAAGAAAGGCCTCACCTGTGAAGTGTAGGAGGTCTGAGGGACACTGGCTTCTCTTGTGGTTTCAGAGTAGAGTTCTTTTGACCTCTGTGTTTCCCAGGTTGGAGATTGCAACCCTGAATCGGGCAGATGCGGATCTGGAGGCTTGTCGAACACAAATCAGCAGGGATATCATCAGTCTTCTGCTGAGAAATCTGACCAGTGGAGGTCACCTCTCCCCTCAGGTGGAGAGGAGGATAGCTTCTGTTTTGAAAAAACAGTTTCTGTTGCTGGAAAATGAAGTACAAGAAGAGTACGATCGTAAGATGTTGGCACTGACAGCTGAATGTGACCTGGAAACAAGAAAGAAGACAGAAAACCAGTATCAGAAGGAGATGGTGGCAATGGAGGAAGCAGAAGAGTTGCTGAAACGTGTTAATGAGCGGGTAAGGCAGCTCTGAAGGCATTCAGGTGCCTCATTTCTCATCAGAGTCATTATTTATCCTTACACCCATCTGTCCATCCATCCACCCATCTATCCAATTATCCATCCATCCATCCATCATTCATCCATCCATCCCTCCATTGCTCCATCCATCCATCCATCTATCCATCCACACATCTACCCATCCATCCACCTGTCTATTTACTTACTTACCATCCACCCATCCACCTACCTAGTCATCCACATATCTATCCATGCACCTGCCCATCCATTCCTTTTACACATCTACCAATCCATCCATGCATTCATGTAGTCATTCCTCCATTCATCCATCTATTCATCCATCCATCTATCCCAGATTCATTTAGCAGACATTTATTGGTCACTTACTGTTTCTTAGGCCTCTAGAGTAGGCCCTGCAGGTACTGAGTAAAACATGACTTAGTTTTTGTGTTCAAGAGCTTCGTAGTTTAACAAAGGACCCTCACAAATGACAAATGAGCTGTTACAATAGAGAGCTGTCCGTGGTGCCAAGGGAGGTCCTGGGCTGAGTGGAACAGCATGGTTTGCAGAGGGAGTGGTTCCCAGATGCTGGTGACAGCAGGGTGCAGAGCTGTCCTTGGACTATAATCTGCTAAGTCACAGTTCTCACCTGCACAGATCTGGCATCAGATGAACTGGATTCCAGTTTTTCTAGTTCTGATCCTGAAGGCCTTACACACCTATCCAAGTCTGACAGTGCCTGTCAGTTGGGCTGGGAGAAGGAGTACAGAAAGAGCAGCCCCTGGGGCCCAGCTCAGATGGTGCTCAGTGCGGGCCCTCAGTCCTGAGAGTGCTGGGCACTAAGCATCCCCAGGGCTGGCCTGTGCTGGTCCGATTGCTGCTCTTCCTTTCTTTCTTTCTTTCTCTCTCTCTCCTTCCTTCCTTCCTTCCTTCCTTCTTTTCTTCCCTTTTCCCTCCCCCCTCTCACTTTCTTTTTCTTTCTTTCTCCTTCCTTCCTTCCTTGCCCCCCTCTTTCTTTCTTTCTTTCTTTCTTTCTTTCTTTCTTTCTTTCTTTCTTTCTTTCTTTTAATTAAGATTATTGGTACAATTTAGATATGCCTAGTGATTACATTCCTCATAGGGAATCTTTCCTGTGCATGTTGTATCTTGATTCCTCTTTTTTCCCATTCCCCTCCCCTCCCTTCAACCCCTTTATCTCTCCTTATTTACAGAGCTTTTGTTTCCATTCTATCCTTCTTTTCTCATTTGCCCCCTTCCTTCTTTAACCCCTTCCTCTTCCCTAGCTCCCCTTTGCTTTTGAACAGTTTCTTCCTATTTCACAATATTTGTTATACATTTGGGTTCTTATTTACACTTACAGTTTTTCATACCAGAGAGATAATCTGATACTTACACGTGTATCTGATTTAATTCACTTAAGAGTATGGTCTCAAGGTGCATCCATTTAGCTATAAATGTCTCAAACTTATCTTTCTTTATAGCAGCGTAGTATTCCATTGTATTAAAAAAACCTCCACATTTTCTTTATCCATTCATTGGTTGATGGGCATTTGGGTTGTTTCCGAGATTTATCTATTACAGACTGTGGCCCTATAATCATGGGTGTGCCTACATTACTGTGGTATGATGCTTTTAATTCTTTTGGGAAGATGCCAAGAAGGGGAATAGCAGGGTCACATGGGACCTGTGGTCCTAGCTTTTTGAAGAATCTCCACACTGATTTCCACAATGGTTGTACCAGTTTATACTACCACCAACAGTGGAGAAGGGTTTCTTTTCCCCATAGCCCCTCCAGCATTGTTATTGGTTGATTTCTTGACAATAGTCATTCTTTCTGGGGTGAGATGAAATCTCAGCATTGTTTTAATTTGCATCTCTCAAGTGATCACCAGTGATGTTGAACATTTTTTGATACATTTATTTGCCATTGTACTTCATCTGAGAAATGTGTCTTCATCTCAGATGCCCATTTTTGGATTGTGTCTTTAAATTTGGGGAGTCTGACCTTTTTCAATTCCTGGTTTATTTTGGATGTTGTTATATAACTATAGATATTGCTCCTATGGTTAGTGATGCCAAATTAGCAGTTACCACTGTTTGTCACTTTCTGGACTGTGCTTGATGATATTGGTATTACTTATTATTCTGCATTAGCCAGAATGCTATACCTGTTGTAATCAGTTGTTCACTCTTGTACGACAACACTGTGATTGTCTGGGGTCGTAATTGTCTCCACAGCCCATTACCAAAGAACTGGATACTGAGCCAAATAGCAATTTCTCAACCTTAATAAAGTAGGGAGGTAGGATCTTGGGACAGATACAAAGATCAAGAGCCAGCTGTACCTAGAAGATATCTCTGAGCAATAGACATTTCCTAGAGAAGCCTCAATACCAGTGATAAAGCTACCTAACATAAGAAAAATACAAGCAACAATATAGAAAATAAAATTTAAGGAATAGAAAACAATAAGCAAAATGCAAGCCCAGGGCTCCAGCACACCCAGAACAAATCCAGAAGACAACAATATAGAGGAAATCAGAGGGCACCCACCTGAATTTTTTGAAATGATAGCAACAGAAGTAAAAAACCAGATGAATGAGGCTATAAAGGGAATTAGATCAGGAATAATCTCTTAACTAAAAAAAAAAAAAAAAAAAAAAAGGAAATGATGACCATAATGAAGGACTTGCTCAGCAAATCTAGAGTGGGTATAAATAAAAAAAAACAGAGGGGCATAGAAAAATGATGGAAATGATGAATGCCTAACGTAGGAAAGAAATGGAATCTATGGAACAGATTCCAGTGTATATCTAGGAGATTAAAAATGCCATTGAAAGTTTGAAAAATTGAGTGAATGAAAGTGAAGACAGAGTATCAGACCTAGAAGACAATATCACAGTTAGTGATTATGAAAAGAAACATGTCTTATAATTAGCAAGGAGGAACAGTTAGTGCTTATATTGTTTGATTTTACATGCCTATATCTGGTAATCTGAGCAACTACTTTGAAGATAACAATATACAATATAATAACCATCGTTAATTTCCTATCATCTTGTTTTGAAATTCTGTACTGTTTTTGTTTTTTATTCTCTTTAAAATAAAAAAATACTGCAAGATGATGCAAAGCAGAACAACATAAGGTTGATCAGAGTCAGTGAAAAAGCAGGAGTCAGCACAAATGACATAAAAAACTGGTTCACAGAAGTAATGACAGAAAACTAACCAAGCATAGAAAAAGAATTTGACATACAGTAAGTGAGGCATATAGAAATCCAATTAGCCATGACCAAAATAAATCTACACCAAGACATATAATAATCAAGATTCCAGAGATTTAGTAAGGAACAGAATATTAAAAGCTGTTAAAGAAACAAACAAATCACCTATAAAGCAAAGCCCATCAGAATCACAGCGGACTTCTCAGCGCAAACACTCAGGTCAAGGAGAGCTTGGAATGAACTATTTCAAGTCCTGAAAGAAAACAACTTCCAACCCAGATCAATGTACCCTACAAAACTATCTTTTAGAATTAAAGGAGAAAGAAGACACTTCCATGCCAAAAACAACTGAAGAAATTCATGACCACCAAACCAGTTCTGCAAATTGTTCTATCTTTTAAAGGAGGTGCCCATCACTGCCTGGGAAGGAGCAGAGTAGTCCTGGCATACCAGAACCAATCAAGCCTGGCTTCTGTCTTCCTCTGCAAGAGAGATGGCTTGTTTAGTCTATGTGCCTTTGGCCTGCATGTTCTGTTTGGACATATGCCATTTGAGAGAGGCCTGACAGCTGTTTAGGAGCAGGTTTCTGAGCTCAGAATCCATATCCCTCTTGCCAGCCAAACCCAGGGTTCCCCAGAGGTTGACAGATAGCTCTTAGGTTGGCAGGAGGTCATCTGTCTCAGACATGGGTTGGGCAGTGATGAGCAGAAGTGACCTTTCCTGTCCTTCACCTGTTTCTTTGCAGCTGGGCCCTGGTTTCTCACAATGACATCTTGTTTTAGGCTGTGACTTTGGTTCTGTTTGGTGTTTGTATTACTTTCCTGTGGCTGCCAGAAGAAATTACCATTGATTGGTGCCTCAAAAGAACAGGCATTCATTAATTTTGTCATAGTTCTGGAGGCCAGAGATCCAAATCAAGGTGTGCTGGGCAGGGCTGTGCTCCCTCCTAAGTCCTGTGAGGGTACTTCCTTGCTTGGTCCAGCTTCTGGTGGCTCCAAGTGTTCTTAAAGTGATTAAAGCTGAATCACTTTAATCTCTGCTCCAACTTCACATGGCCATTTTCCTCAAGCTCTGCCATGTGCTCTTCCACCTCAAGACACTTGCCTTTGGATCTAGGCCTTGCCCAAATGTCATTGGATTTGGGGCCCATCCTGATAACCCAAGATCATATCATAAGAGCAAAGCCCTTTCTTCCAAATGAGGCCATGTTCACAGGTTCTTGCTGTAGGACCTGGAGGTGCATGGTGGGGATCACATCACTCAGCCAACTCCAGCCTCCCTGGCTGGCTGTACTCTGTGCTCCTGCAGCTGTCGACACTGGGCAGGCCTGGCCCTGAGGACGAATGAGGGAGAGCACCCTTCAGTGACTCAGCCCCTGAACTGTCTCACCACCTCTCCCTTTTCTAATTTGTTACCATTTTTTCCTGTATAACTTGCACATGCTCAAGTGCTTCAAAGCAGCAGTTAGCAAACAAGGGTCCATGAGCCCAGTTGGCCCAGCTTGGTTTTATTTGACCCAGGAGCTGAGAACAGTTTTTACATTTTCAGAGAGTTGTGCAACAGCAGCAAAAGTCAGTGAAGAGTATGTGACAGAGACCTTACGTGGTCTGTAAAGTCCAAAAGATTTATCTGGCTTTTTATAGAAAAGTTCGCTGATGAAGCCTGAAAGGGCAGAAATCTGAAAGTGAAAAATGGTCAAGTGAGAAACATCCCACTGCTAAACTGCAGAGGCCCGTGTGTCAGGGCACTGACTGCCCTCCCGCTGTGGGCCTCACCTGGGTCTGCAGCGTGGGCTGGTGCCTCCTGCCCCACATTCCTGCGTACATCCCAACCTTGTGCTACGTATATGTCCGCATGTGTGTTTGTGTGTGCATACGCCCGAGCGTATATATGTTTTATACCATTCGCATAGTTGTCTTGCCTGTTTTCCCTCTGTGTCACAGCATAAACAATTTTGCAATTTTATTAAATCCTCTTAAAAATATGATGCAGAGCAAAAAGCTCGCATTTATTTAGAGCTCCTTGAGTGTTGGGCGTTGATCTGCTCACATCATGTGGGTAGAATCCCACTTTGGCAAGGAGGAAAGTACGATGACATGGAGATGTTGTCCACATCCTCAGGTGGCACCAGGACTTGTACCCAGGCAGTCCGCCCCTAACCACTGCACCCCAACAGCCACCCTTATACTGTGTATTGGCACGTCATGTCCCTGTGCTGTGTGCACCGTGTTAACCCATCCTGTTGGGCATCTGGGGTGTTTGCAGTGCTTTTGCTGTCTGAACATGACCAGAAGCGCCAGGTTTGTTGGCAGGGGCATGGAGAGTGGAGTTCGTGCTGTCTCTGCTTCTGTTTCTGCATGAGAATTGGCCCCTGAGGAACAAATCCTCTAGGCTGCAGCATCACATCCTTAATCCCAGCATCACACACCCTAGATCCAGCTGCCTCTGAAAAGCCCTACCTGCGGCCACATGAAGCTTTAGGGGGACATCTGCATATAAGCCGTAGCAATGACACTCCTCTTGGGGAGCTGGTACATGCACATAACACATCTTTATTCTTCTTCCTCTCTTGGTTTTCTTCCTATTTGCCAAAGATCTGCCTTCCTATTTCCTGTTGTCTTTTATTTTGCTCTTTATGGTTTTCAAATCTGTCTCTACCAAGAGGCCCTTAGCCAGCCATGAGGATATAGACTTGGAGGGCTGTTGCTTGGGCTCAGATTCTCCCCTTTCATACTTAAAAAGGCACACAGGTGGGTCTCCCCAATCTCCTTTTCCCCTCTGAAAGTGAGGGTTGTGATGAATTACTGTTTGTAAAGAACTTCAGTTGGATGGGAGAGGCTGCCAAAGGGCGCTAAGTCAGTCCTAGGAACGGGAGGCTCTGGGTGATGCTGCATAGTACACTGCCTGCAAAGAATGAAAATGAACTGTGTGTCTTAAAGGACTTTGAATGTTTTCAACCTAACAAACAAGTGAAGAGATAGATTTACTTAATCTGATTTGAGCCTTCATAATGTTTACATGTTTCAAAATCCTGCGTGGTATCCCATTTATGTTTTTCTGAATTAGCTAGAATTTAAAAGAACAGCAAAGAACTCTAATGCTTGGCAACATCAGCCTTGTCCAGTTGTTTGCTATGATTCATGATTTTATATGATTTTTTTAAAAAAATCCTGGAATATAGAAGTCAGAGGATGTGATGCATTTCCATTTGGAGTTAGGGAAACTGAGGCCCAGATGGGTAGGGCCTGGCAAGCTGGGGTTTCCCACTAGTGCGAAGGGCAGTGTTCCCTTCTGGGTCCCTGTCCCAAGGACAGAAAGCTGTGCATGCATCCTGCCCCAGCTGCCTGAGGCTTCCTGACTCCCTTGTGAACAACTTCAAGGAAGATTCCTTACGCGTAGGAACTCTTCCCTTTTAACCATCTCTGATGGATTTATTTTTATAAAACAGTTTTACAATTTGCCTGTCTTGCTAAATTGAGCACAAGGAGCATAATTTAGCGCAGTCATAACTTCCCGGCATGGTTTCCCATTTTCCAAGGTGCGGAGTCAGCACTATGCATAGCAGTTGCCCTGGGACAGCCACTCAGCCTCCGACCAGAATGGCAGAGCCGCCCCTGCTCGCAACTCCTCTCCCACGGACTCCAATAGGGCGCGGGGGCCCGGAGATCGTTATTGTAGCTTTACCTCAGAAATGCACATAGGGCAGTATTTAAAGTAGAAAGGTTTATATTACCAATCCAGATGGCCTGGTTGTTTGAAAGAAGGAGACGCTTTGGCCATGTTGAGCCCGTGTTCCCACAGGGCCTCCCTCGCTGGACTGACTGCGGCTGCTCTTGCTGTCCACACGTTGCTGCAGTTACCTCCCTGGTCCCTTACGCACCGGGCGGCCTCCCTCACTCTGTGCGACCTCCCTGCGCGGTGCCCCTGCTTGGGGCTTGGGGCTTGGGGCTTGGGGCTGTCGTCTGTGCTGCAGGGTGTGGAAGAAGGGCGGAAGTCGAGCACATCTCTTCAAGGCTCCTCTTACGAGGACGGTTATTTGGAAATTGACAGGGAGGGTCCTTGCAGGGTTATCTAGGGACGTCTCACTATGACACAAATCACGAATGTTTCATTGCCTTGTGCTGTATCTTTTGACAGAAATACAAAGATGAACAAGGACAGAAAGTTTTATTTTAGGATTTATGTGTGTATGTGTGTGTGTGTCTGTGTATCTGTGATTTCTGTCTTGGCTGTAAGAAATGAAACGGGTTTTACTCCGTGCTTTATTCCTATCAGTTAAAATAAGTTGAGGTTTGAGCATGCCAAATTCAGGATGGCGAAGTATGGCCACTCCAGTGGCTTATGTGGCAAAGAACGCCAGCTCCTCAGCTGCGGCCAGTCAGGGTCCAGACAGCTTTGTGGTTGTTGGTGAACTGCATTTTTTCCCTTGGATCACGTCATCTACTAAATGCCACTTCTCTGCAATAGGGTGACTCAAAAAATCTAACCCCGTTGTTTTTATAAAACCAGATTTAGTAAAAGACCTACTGTAGCTGTTATTTAATAGCTGAGGCAAAGAGTTAATGTTGGGATAGCTTCCCGCTGAGTAACCCGGAGTCAGAGTGACCTGATCACACTGGTAGGAGGCCTTCACTTACCATTAATGTAACCTGATCAAAGAGTGACACAATATCATATCAGGTTCAAGTTTATACCCACACTCCAGGAAGGGAGGGGACTACCACGATGTGCACACCAGGATAGGGTGGGAGTCCTGGGGTCTCCTAGGGTCCCGCTTCCGTGTGCAACAAGGCTACACTGGGAGCTGAGCAGGGGAATTTTTCTTTCAGTCCTTACACAGGACAGTGTAACATGCAGGTTGCCAGGTAGCCATTTCTCATCACCGTGTGCCTCTTTCTACCCAGGGATCCTAACTTGGACTTGATTGCTAGTGTTTTTATCTTCAAGGAGGTTGAGAATGAAAGAGGATGGGAATAATCTCGTGTGACGAACTGCATGATCCATGGATACTTAAGAGAGATTTCCATTTTGTGCAGGCACCTTTCAGGCAGTTTGATTCGCAGATTTCCACCCTGGTGAATTTTCTGCTTTGTGATTGTTCTGGGAAAGCGTTCAGATAACAGTGGGGGGCAGGTGGGAGCAACATCTTCCCAGGCTTTGCAGCCTTGACCCATTGCAGCTTCAAATGGGCGTGTGTGTGTGTGTGTGTGTGTGTGTGTGTGTGTGTGTGCATACATATGTGTGTGTTCCATGTGAGTGTGCTCTGTGTGCCTGTGGGCATCTGCGTCCCTGTGTGTGTGCATTGTGTGGCAGTGTGTATGTGTACCATATCTATACAGATATGCATGTGTCTACCCGAGGGCATATGTATGTGAGAGTATGTGCATCCATGAGCACACACACATTGTGTATGTGGGTGGTTGTGCATGTATGCTCTGTACACTGCATGCAAGTGCACTTATACATCACACATGTATGCAGTGTGGACACGGAGTGTATTGAATGGGCTGTCCTTCCATCGCATGAGTGTTCATGTGTCTGTGCATGCATGTGCATACGTGGCGTGTGTTATGCATGCTCACACTCAGGGTGTCGGTTTCTCACGTGCTGCCCCTTCTCTCCGCAGTCTGCCGCAGAGTGCAGCAGCCTCCTGCGGACCCTGCACGGCCTGGAGCAGGAGCACTTATGGAAGTCCTTGGCTTTGCACCAGGAGGAGGACTTTGCCCAGGCTCACAGGCAGCTTGCTGTTTTCCAGAGAAATGAATTGCACAGCATCTTTTTTGCCCAGATAAAAAATGCTATTTTCAAAGGGGAACTGAAGCCAGAGGCAGCTAAAGTGCTGCTGCAAGATTATTCGAAACTCCAGGTAATGCCCTCTCTCAGGCCGCCGTGGTGGCGGAGTGGTTTTCTGAGTGATTGCAGGAATTCTCCTCTCCCAGAGCTGATGGCTGCCTCTTCTTTCATGCGATACCACTGAGCCAACTTTCTCTCCTCCGGCCTCCTGATGCGGGGCTGATTCTGGCACACAGGCATATGTGGGCTCGGCAGAACTAAATCAGATCCCATTCCATCCTGTCAGCTGTGTGAACCTGAGCAAGTTCCCCAACTTCTCTGAGCCTCTTTCCTCTGTTGTGAAGTGTGCAAAACAGAGGCCTCACACTTGCAGAGGTGTGATGAAGCTTCAATAAGCCCATCCATGGAGAGTCAGTGTTTGGCACAAGATGGTTTTTAATGTATACGGTGGTAAATAGATATGCACATTTATGTGTGTGCATATTGTTGCGTAGACCTTGCGCTTAGGATCTGTGTCTACATATGTTTGGGTCAATGTGTGTGTATTTTTCCACATAAACTCAGTGTGAATATTTTTAATCCAGACTGAAGAAAGTCCCTAGCTGGTGATAAAAGCGGCTTTTGTGAGGGTCAGTGTTGCTGTGGAGTTTCCCAGGAGGTCACGCGAGAATCACTGGTGTGCAAGAACACCCTTTACCATTTGGCTGGGGGGTGTTCAGCTTGCTCCTGGTGATACAGTGCTCATGGAGGACAAATTTCTACTTTGCCACGGAAATTTTGTGTTCCGACTGTGAGTGGGATATTTGAGAGGTGCACGCATCACCCTTGTCCCAGGTGGTGGGCAGTGAGTGTGTAAAGCCGCAGAGGCTCTCTGAGGATGCTGAGGGCCTGGGTCACTGCGTGGCACTCATGTCTGCAGGGTTAATGTTGCATTTGCTCTGCAGGCCCCAGTGCGGCTCTCACGCAGCTGTCACTGCCATTTCAGCAGTGTCTTTACAAGGGAAGGCATCCCCAAAGGCCCGGGGGCCTGTTTCCCTCTGGGGTTACCTGTGTGCCTCGGCAGGGCATGTTCAGCATGTGACGATGAGCTGTGTCCAACCAGTTGAAGCGGGGTGTGTGCCCAGCCTCTGCCACTGCTGATGCCAGAGTGATTATGAGAAGTAAGGACCAGCTGGAGGAGGTGTGGAATGCATGTCCTTGCCTGTGGGGTGTGTGTGTGTGTGTGTGTGTGTGTGTGTGCAGGTCCCAGCAGTGAGGCCGCTGCACTTAGCACTCACCAGGTTGGCATGTGTCCTCCTGGGGCAGTGTGGCTGATGCCACATTCGTCTTCCTGGCAAGGGCCCAGGGTACAGGGCTGAGGCAGAGCAAGGTGCATTTTGATATGAAAATCTTGTCCTTTGTTTGGAACTCAAAGCTCAAGGTAGAAGTTGAAGGTGTTGATTGCCTTGTGACTTGTGGCCCTTTGCAGCCCAAATTATTTGTGTGGTGTTTTGTTGTTTTTGGTGCTTGTGGTATCTTCCTGGGACCAATGAACAATGAGTCCCCAGGTAGTGTGGTTAGATAAGGTGACACTGGCCCTGGGGTTCAGACTTCCTTGACCTCAGCCTTCCTTGACCTCAGCCTTCCTTGACTTGACTCAGAGCGTTTGGATCCCAGCTCTGAGTTCCTTGCATGGTGAGCTCGAATGATACAGGTTGTGGGTCCTGTTCTGCTCCTGCCGTATCCTAGCTTGTGGGTTCTGGTGCAGGAAGCCCCAGGGAGTTTGGGTTTGGAGGCATATCTGACCGACACCCAGCCTTTCCTGTCTCAGTGGCACTAATCCCTGAGTGTTGGTACCGGAGATGTCACAGCTGTGAGGTAGAAAGGAGAATGTCCGGGCATCACAGGGTTCTCACTGTTAAGTGTTGGTCCTTTTGGTGATCCATGTGGGCACAGTTTCTCTATAGACAGAGAAAAATAAAACAGCAACCACCTATGGGACAAGACCACCAAGGCGGTGTGATAGCTTGGCGTTCAGAGGCAGCCCACGACGATGTTAGTCCCTAGGCCTGGGCAGCAGCTTGTGGACTTCTAATCCCTGCAAGCCATTTACCAGTTCTGTGATCCAGACTCAGTTTCCTTATCTGTGAAATGGGAATGAGAAAACTCTCAGCCTAGAGGAAGACAGAAGAGGCACGCGTGCCCTTAGCCCCGAGTCAGCCCGGTGGACATAGCCAGGATGGGCCAGGCCGGGCTCACCCCTGTGCTTGGCTGGGTTTGCTTCATGGTGCAGGTGGAAGGGAACTTCTTGCCACTCTTTGAGCTGTGCCTGCTTTGGCTTGTTTCCTCCAGAGGCTGGGCCAGGGGCCGATTCACCCCACAGTGTCACCTCCGTAGTGCAGCCAGGTGGGAGCTCCCCAGGCGGGCTGAGTGACCAGCGGGTGGGACTCGTGTCCTGTTTGGTGGGCAGGATTTCTCTCATGTGGGTTCTGGGTTCACTTTTCAAAGTGCTCCTTTTATTTGCATGTGATTGTCTTATGAGCCTTTGGCAGAAGCAGGGAGGTTAAAGGTATTAATCCTGCTGCTTCTGCGCCTGTGATTTTTCTTCTGAATGGAAACATAATAATTCAAAAGTTTACAGGGACTTTTTTTCAAAACTAGCAAATGTAGTTTACATAAAAAATTTTAACAGGAGAACCTAGAAGAGTTAATGGACTTTCTCCAGGCTACTAAGCGGTACCATCTGAGCAAAAGGTTTGGCCACCGGGAGTACTTGGTGCAGAACCTGCAGTCCACAGAGACCCGTGTGCAGGGCCTCCTGAGCACCGCGGCCACACAGCTGACCCAACTCATCCAGAAGCATGAGAGGTGAGCCCTGAGGTTGTCCTATGACGTGAACCAGCTCTGCCACAGCTTCCCCACCAAGGAATGCGCAGCCTCACCATATACGCAGGCTGCTCTGGCTTCATTCTTTAAAGGGATTCCCCAGCTCCAAAGATCTTTACACTGCCAGTTTTACACCTATAATCCCAGCATCGATGAGGCTGAGGCAGGAGGACTGGTGAGTTCAAGACTAGCCTAGGCTACATAGGGAGTTCAAGGACTGAACTATCTAGTGAGACCTTGTCTTAAAGGAAACCAATAAACGAACCAACAGACAAGAAAGGCAGGCAGGTGTGGTCTGTCGTCAGGATAACCATGTGCTGAGCACCCACCTGGCACCCTCCAGCTTGCACAGGTCCCCGCTTGCAGCCAATTGCAATGTAGCTGCACATGCCATCCTGGATTATTTTGGAGCACTTTCCCAGCCACGTATTCTGTAGAAGTCTACGGTAGAGGCTTGCACTGACCGTGCCCTGGGAATGCCCACTTCCTTTGGGGCTGTAGCGCATGCTGGCTATAGCATTTGTGTTTAGCATTAAGTGTAAAGCTACAGAGATTTTTATCTGGGGATTGATTGGTTTTCTGTTTTTTGGTATATGTTTGTGACACATAATAATTGTGCTCATCTTGGGGAAGGTACATATACACATTATGTCCTAATCATTTTTACTTTTTCTTCCCCTCCCAGCTCTCCTTCTGCTGCCCCTCCCCAGATTTCCTTCCTTTTACCAAAAATTCTATCTCCCTGTTTCCCACCATCGCTTTTATTTTACTCTTTAAATTTTTTTTCATTTTGGGTTTCTCATAAAACCGAAAGCATGAAATATTTAGCCTTCTATGTCTGATCTGTTTCACTTAGCATCATGGCCTCAGGATGCGTCCATTTTCCGGCGAATAACTTAAATTTACCCTCCTTCATGACTGTAGGCAACATTTGCTTTATCCATTCACCTGTCGTCAGGCACATAGGCTGCTTCCAAGATTTACGGTGGCTTGTGCTGCTGGAGACGTGGATAGCCATGGGTCACTGTAATTTGCTGACTTTAACTCTTTCAGAAACTTACCCAGAAGAGGTATAGCTGGGTCCAGTGGAATTTCTATTTTGTGAGAAATCCCTATACTGATTTCCACAGTGGTTGTGCTAGTTTGCATTCCTCCCAACAATGTAGAAGGGTCTCCCCCCACTTGGGGTATCCACTGTCCAGTGTTGGAAAGCAGAGTTCTTCCAGGTGCCACCCCTGCCCTCTCCAAGGGATTTCTGCTTAGGTGTCCCTTGAGATACCTTACTTGAGACAGCTTACAGAAGTCTTGAGACAACTTACCCCTCAAGACAGCTTACAGAAGTCTTTTCTGTAAAACAGAAGTTGGACAATGACTTAAAGCTTACTTGTAAACAGTAGGCTATAAGAAGCTGTCAAATGAATAGCGACCTGACTATAAAGTTGGCTTTCTTAGGACAATCTGTGGTTTTGTGAATTGGTTCTACAACTCAGGCAATTTTATTAAGACTGTGCAGCTTCCTGCAATGCTGAGTGAAGATTCCTTAGGGTGCAAATTACAGCAATACTCCCCACCTCAAGATGCTAATGAATTCATCACTGCGGTTTGTGTGACACTGCTGATCAATTCGCACACAAGTTAAAGGAACAGTTCCTGGGCTTGAGTTGAAGAAGCACACAACTGGTTGCCTGTGGTGAGCTGTTGCCAGGGAGAGCTGTCTTTCCTCTTATTTTTATATTTTATTTGAAAGGGCTGGCACAGATGTGTATTTCTAACACATGTACTTCTACCCATTCCTTCACCTGTTCACTCAGGAAGCCTCTGGGGAGAGTCCGCCCTATGCCAACCTGGGGACCCAGTCCAGGGGTACCGACAGACCGAGGGTAGCTGTGGCACTGAGAGCAGAGTGTACCAATCAGAGCTTTCAGACAAAAGGCACCTCCTGGATAGCTTGAAGACACTTAGTGTAGCAATCAGCTCCTGTCATTGAGGAGACCGGAAGTCCCACCATTTTCTTTCTCACGGCTGGAGATCCAGAGAAGCTGGATCCAGGTCAAAGGCCTGAGAACTCAGGTAGCTGATGATGTGAATCCCTGTCTGAGGGCAGAAGATACGAAATGCCCCACTGTGAGCTGAGTGGCAAAAAGAAAGGGCCAGTTCCTCCTTCCTCTGCTGTCCTGTTCTTCTCAGGAGCTCAGCATACTGGATGGTGCCACCCAGTTAGGGTGGGCAGTCAGCTTGCCCTGAGATGTTTTAGTCAGTTTGCTGCTGCTGTAACAGAATACCACAGTCTGGGTAAATTATAAACTAGAGAAGTTTCTTTGTATCACGACTCTAGAGTCTGAGAAGTCTAAGACTGAGGGCCACGTTTGCTGAGGGCCCTTTCCCTGTGTCCTAATATGGCGTAAGGTATTGGAGGGTGAGAGCACCGGGGAGTGAGAGGAAAGGGGGCCAGACTTCCTGCTTTTACCACTAACCCACCCTGTGATAACAGAATTAACCTAATCATCCCTTGAGTTTCGGTCCCACTACTTAATTCCTTCACATTAGCAGCTAAATGTCAACATGAGGCTTGGAGGGGGTGGGCAGACCATGCAAATGTCCCCTAGTTCACATCAGCTGAAAACATCGCCACAGACATCCCCAGCAATCATGGGAGTTCACACCGGTAATTCTATGTTTACCTCTTTGACTTGCTGTGTGCCGTCCCAGCATCTGTATTACTGGCCCATCCTCTCCTCTTGGAAAATTCTCTCTGTACCTCCCTGGTTCCCTCAACTGTTTCCTTATCCCAGAAGCCTTGCCCTCATGGATCATCCTGTCCTGCACTCTCTGCCTGTCTCTTAGGACACTGACCTTACTCTGCCAGCATCTTAGCTGTGCAGTTGCTGATTCTCCTCTTTCTGGAAGGTGAAGATTTTTCTGATTGAGCCCAGACTAACACAGAGATAGATGTTTAGCCACGTCCTCAGTCAAGGCAGGGGTTTTGGAGCCTGCATTCACTAACTTCTAGTCTTTTCCATCTAGGGCGGGGTACTTGGATGAAGATCAAATGGAAATGCTACTTGAACGGGTTCAGATGGAAGTCTTTTCTGTAAAACAGAAGTTGGACAATGACTTAAAGCAGGAAAAGAAAAAACTCCGCCAAAAATTAATAACTAAGAGAAGACGAGAGTTGCTCCAGAAGGTTCGAATATATAAGGCATTATGCTATTTCTTCTTTGTGTAACACTTTCCCAATACCTACTGAGTGCTGGGTTCCATACCAGGCATAGCGGTCAGCACACTAGGTTTACAAGGGCAGCTCAGCAGACATTGTGATGTCCCATCTGCAGTTGGTTGGTAGTGACTTTTTGGAAGGCTGCCTCTCAAAGCATTCTGCAGGCTGATGGTAGATTGGTAATGTCTGCTTGAGCAAGGGAATTGGCATCTGAGTGAAGAATGGTGAGGGTAGATACAGATGTTGTTTTGTAGATTTATTTTTTTATTTTTGATACTACTGGGGCTTGAGCCCAGGGCTTTTGCACTGAACTACATTCTCAGCCTTTTTAAAAATTATTTTTAACTTTTGAGACAGGGTCTCACTAAATTGCTAAATTTTTTTTTTTTTTTCCAGTACCAGGAATTGAACTCATGACTTTGTGCTTGCCAGGCAGGTGCTGTGCTGCTGAGCTAAATCCCCAGCCCCTAAATTGCTAAATTGCTCAGACCAGGCCGGGCTTGAACTTATGATCCTCCTGCGTCATAGTGTGATTTACTTAAGAATGATTTTCTGAACATGAGCTTGTTAGAAGAAAGCCTATAAAAACTTCTGCGCTGAATTTCCGAAGTTCCCCTCTCCCCCAAGCATTTGCCCTTTTCCTGAATTCCCGCAGCATCGGGAGCAGCGGAAAGAGCAGCTGTCCACAGCTGAGGCATTCCGAGCTGCTGAGGACGCCGGCCAGTACCTGCGCCAGTGGAGGAGCATGGTGACCGAGCACAGTGCCGCCCTGGAGGAGCTGCAGGAGACCTTGGACCAGGCCGCCCTGGACGATGTCCGTGCTCTGACCCTGTTGCTGTCTGAGAAGGCCACCGAGGAGCTGCGGCGCCTGCAGAGCTCGGCGATGACACAGGAGCTGCTCAAGCGCAGCGTTCCCTGGCTCTTCCTGCAGCAGATCCTGGAGGAGCAGGCCCGGGAGCTGGCGGCCCGGACTGAGCAGCTGGAGGCCGAGGAGCGGGAGCGGGGCCAAGAGGGCGTGCAGGGCGTGAGGCAGAGGCTGCGGGATGACGCCCTGGAGGCAGCCACGGAGGAGCAGGCAGAGCTGAGGCGCTGGGAGCACTTGGTCTTCATGTGAGCGGCCCTGCTGTGCCCCTGGGCAGGGGAGCTTGTGGGGACAGGGGTGGCTGACTAGGTCACCCTGGCTCTGGATGCGTGAGATCCGCTGTGTTTCTTGGTCACACAAGCTCTCACCCTGCAGGGACTATGCAGAGCGAAAGAGTGGGTAATAGGTGGGGACAGGGCTGTGCAGCAGCAGGAGGTGGCTGGGTTCCCTGGGCAGCGCCTCTGGCCGGTCTGAATGATGCAGTGGGCTGGTGGGGCACTGGAACCCACTACTCGAGATCTGCACCCGGCCCCCGCCATAGGAAGTGTCTTCTGGGGACAACCTTTCAGAAGAGAAGGGACCTTTCGAGGAGGCCGTCCCAGGCCCTCCTGTCCCACCCGATGTCCGGGTAGCCTGTGACCCTGGGCCGCCAGCTCAGTTCCCATGTAGCACTGCACCCTCTTCTCACCTGGCCCTTTCATTCACTGCCTCATTGTTTGGGGCATTTATTTTCATCACTAATACATTAACACAAGAGCCTTGTGGTGATTTCCACTCTGCGCAGCACGTTGTAGACAACGTGTTTTAGTTACGTTCTCATCACTGAGATCCGCAGCTTGAAGGGGGAGGGGCTTATTTCGATTCGCAGTTTCAGTCTGTAGTGAGCTGGCTCCAGGGCAGAATGACGAGGTAGAGGTCTGGGCGGAGGAGAGTTGCTCACCTTATGGAGTCCAGGAGGCAGAGAAAGCAGGGAGGAGGTGGGAAAGGAGATAGACCCTTCTGGGTCACACCCATGGCGACGTGCTGCTTCCTGCCTCCTAACAGTAGGTTAGCTATGAGTCCCATCACCTTCCAAAGGTCCCCCCACTGTGATTGCGTGAGGCCTTCAGGGGACATCAGAGTATAAACCATCACACCACAGCCAACCAACACTCCCGTGCAGTAACTAGCAGCTAATGATCAAAGACAGGGAGCGTGTGTTTGACGTGAGGGAGCTCGGGATGTGGGGAGGATGAGCTGAATTCAGATTCCGGGGGGCTTTGTCTGATAGCTGTCCACTTCCGGAAACTGAGGTTTGGCTTGGCCCAGGAAGGGAGCCTTAGTGTATCCTACAGACCAGCAAAGCGTTGGGAGCTTGCTTGGGGCTGGCTCATCTAAGTGGAAACTACAGGAGCCCCAGATGTGGACTGAGACGGGGCTGTGTAGACAAAGGACAGGGATTTAAATCTCAGCACCACTACCTGCTGTGTGAGTGTGCGGAATCTGCCTAATCTCGTCTCTCCAAGCCTCGTCTTTCTAGCTTGTAAAATAAGGATGATACTAAGTCATTTGGAGTGCTTTCAGCAGTGCAGGAAATTATCAGGTGGGCTAAAGTGGGCAGTCAGTGGTTGTGAGAGCCTGCCATCAGGAAGGGGCACCACCCTTGTTGGGTGCTGGGTGGCAGAGCATCTTCCTGTGAGGATGGGGGTCCAGGATCCTGCTGCCTCCATGATGTCATACCCCTCATTCCAGCAAACTTCTTTTCCCAGGCTCCACACCTCCTTAGGTGAGGAGAACAGGTCCTCCACGTGCTGTGGAGAGTGGTTTCCCTCAGTGTGCATTAAGTGTCTGTCCGCTCCTTCCTGTTTCTCTCTTGTGCCTCTGGTCTCATTCATTTCCCAGACTAGTTTAGTTAGTGCTTTTTTAACAAGGGAAACAAGATGCTGCTTTTCCCAAGCCCACGAGAATCTCATGCCCCTGCCTGCCCTCCACGATATCTATTCCGTTCACTCTAAATTCAATCTAAGATCTTTACCCGTTCTGGTTGGCTTTGGACTTTTGTCTCTTCTGAATTCAATTTGACATTCCCATTACCAGGCGATCATTTTCCTCAGCTTCATTTAGATCTACTTTGCAGGCAGCGTTGCTAAAGCCACAGCTGAGTTAGCCGTTCTGTGAAAAAGAGAGAAATCTTACTCGGCTATCAGAAACAGGTTTTGATTTTTCTCAGGGTTAAAGAGGGTCAGCCTGCAGCACCCACAATGTGAGCTACTTCTGTGCTTTGCTTAAGAGCCTGAAGGGTCGCAGCCTTTATTTCTGAGGCATTGTGTAAAAATGCCTTTGCACCAGTTTTGCAGTGCATTTCTGTAAGCTTCCCTGTGGTAGTCGAGAAGGGGCTGTAGAATCCTGGGCAGCTAACGTGGACATTAATGAGGAGCAGTATTTTTGCCAGGAAGCGTGTGTCTTTGAGACTCCTTTCCTGAGTTCCTGCCCTGATTTTAAGCTCTGTCAGGGCAAAGATCCTGCCTCTTGTATTTCTGTATTCTCTCAGTGCCTGCATGGCAGTGGACTAGACAAGCCCAAGAGCTGGTCTGCTGGAACAGGGATGGTGAACTTACGACATGTGTGCCACGGCAGGCTGTTTGTGTCACTGAAAGCTCTAAAAGTTTTGCCATCACTGTGCTACAAGGTGGGCAAGATCGACTTACATGCACTTCAGAGTTGCTTTCGCTTTAGAATCCGTGCAACCATCCATGAGGCCGGGGCAAAGGGAGGCTGCAGTCTCCAAAGAAGCTTTAAAAATCGGGGTCCCTTGGAGGGAGGATTCCTAAGACAGGGTGTCCAGTGATGTGGCCTTGAGGCCTTCAGACTGTGTTTAGCTGAAAGCCTGCATCACCCCTGAAAGTCCACTTCTGTACCCACAACTGTCTAGCTGAGCCACAGCCCCGCAATCTTATTGGGGATGGTGAGCCTTGCCCTAGCTTTTCGTGGCAGTTGTTCTATGAATATTTCTGACCTTTAAGCATCCGCAGAGCATCCTTTTTGCAGCCTTGTTGACAGAATAACCAGGTACATCCGGGTTTGTCTCCAGAGAATATTTGTTGAGTGAGTGCCTGGACACACAGTTCTCCAAAGTGAGAGGCAGAGATCAGGGCTCTCCCTACATCGTGAGCTCTGGACCCGAGGAGGAAACCCTGGAGGAAGCCCTGTCCCAGTGCCACCATGCCTTGCTGTCCAGAACTAGGACCTGGGACGGGAAACTCGAGTGTGTGCCCATTTTGCCCCCTGGAGTGGGGAGTGGGCCATGCTAGCAAGGAAGAGGGAACAGTGTAAGCCGATGGCTGGGTTGGGGTAGGGGTTTGCAGTGACATAGGTGAGTGCCTCTGATTCCCAGGGCTGCCATAACCCAGCACCACAAGCTGGGTGGAGTGAACCACAGAAATGTGTTCGCTTATGGTGCTGGCGACCAGAAGTCCAAAGTGCAGCCACGTGGCCTCCAAAAGCTCCAGGGGAGGAGTGTTTGTCCCATGCCTTCCTCTTGGCTTCTGCAGTGTGGGCAGTGGTTGGCATTTTTTGGCTGGTAGACACATCACTCTGATCTCGGCCTTGGTGGGCACATGGCTTTCATGCCGGGTGTTTGTCTCTTCTTGTCTTGAAGGACACCCATCATACAAGATGAGGGCCTGCTCCACCCTGGTGTGACCTTATCTTGACGTCTTCATTCCAGCTGCAAAGACACTTCTACCAAATAAGATCACATTCATGGGGAGCAGGGGTAGGACTTGGGGGACACAGTTCAGTCCATAACAGCGCATCATCAGCAGGCTTCCCCAACCAACAGCCCCCCTTTGCCGGCCCTGAGCTGAGGCAAGGGCTGCTCCATGGGCTTAGTGCACACTGCATCTTTTCTGTTCTGTCACTGAAGTAAGAATAGGTCATCTCCAGGTCGTCAACATGGGAATCCCTACTTCTTCTCCAAGACCTCCTGGGCTCATCTCACTCCGCTCTGCATCTCAGGTCTAATAAGATCTGCGTCCAGCACGGTATACAGTAGGCACCCAACACATCCACGGGAGGGAAGTACAGATAGGGAGCAGTGCTTTTCTGTCTGGACAGGGATTTAGCTTATGAACTTTGAAGTTCCAGCTTCCCTGCCTCAGCCCAGTGCACGTTTCCTCCTGATGGAAACCACTGCTGTCCTTTCCAGGAAGCTCTGTGGCGCTACCTTCTCGCTGTCTGAGGAGGAGCTGCTGGCGATAAGGCAGGAGGTCCACAGCTGCTTTGCCCAGATGGACAGGAGCTTGGCCCTCCCCAAGGTGCGGGCCCGAGTCCTGCTGCATCGCTTCCAGACTGCCTGGCGGGAAGCAGAGCTCCTGAAACTGGACCAGGCGCTGGCTGCCCCCGAGCTGCAGGTAGGAGAGCTGCCTTGTGGTGTCCCCAGCTCTCGACCCCATGGGGTCCTGCATTCCGTCCCGCCTGCGAGCGCTCATCTCCCTCTGCCCCATTCCCGCCTCTGCAGCCATGGTGGGGTCTGGCTGTCCCTGCAGCTCCCTTGTCCTGGCTGGAAAGCCCGGCTTATGCTTCTGGTGTCATGTTCTGATACGCTCACCCGGGCCGTGCTGTGTCAGCCAGCTGCACTCAGGTCACAGCCTCAGTCTTCATGCCTGAAATGTCACCCTTCCTTCTGTACCCACCCTCAACTGTAGATAGTGACTGATTTGGGCTTCAGAGGCCCCTCTGTAAGTGGCACAGAGGAGGGGTGCTCCGCTCAGCCCAGGAAAGGGTGCCTCTCATGCTGGGTCTGGGAGGATGACAGTTGCACCTCAGCGAGCCCCTGTGATGTACCTCAGTGCACCAGGCCCCCACAGATGGGTCTAGACGGTATTTGACCTGAGACTCAGCCCTGCTTGGCCCCGCCCCCTCCAGGCGTGGTGTCCTGTTCCTCAGACTTCTCCTCGGAAGCCACGTGCAGCGCCAGGCTCAGGCTCTGCCTCTGGGAACCCGACCTGGGCCAGCAACGTGATCCGTCGTCTTTCCAAGCCTCCATCCTGTGTCACCACCACAGAGAAGCCCTCCTTGAGCGTCCACCTAAAATAACTCTCCTTCCAGCCACTCTTTGTTCCAAGGTCCCGGAACACCTTGTCCCAGGAAGATCCGCAGCCCTCCAGGGCTGAGGCAGAGTTTTGTAGTTCTGTGAGCCTTGGCCTCAGGTGACCCGGGGGCTGTGTGAACCCATGGTGGCCTCCTTCTCACCAGCGTTTGCTCTGGCTCCTCTCCACCCACAGTCCAAGGCCAGAAAGCCGAGGTCCAAGAGTAAAAGCAAGGTGGACCTTATGAAGAAGTGCATCGAAGACAAGGTCCGCCTCTTTGAGGAGCAGCCCCCTGCGGACCTGGCAGACAAGGTGGGTGCCTCTGTCACTGGGCGCTTCTTTGCACCCAGTAGGGTGGGCAGTGGTTGTGCTCAGGTGCACAGAGCTGCCCAAGCACTGTGCCCCGAAACCTGTGATCCTCCAGGTGGAGCCCTCCTCCCCAGTCCTTCCCTCCCCCTCCCCGTTCTCTGTCGGGTGGGTGTGTTGGGGAGTGGGTGCCTCATAGCATGCTTGTGAGTGCTGCTTTGGTTCCTACCTCTGTCTTTGGCCTGATTGTTTTTTAAATTTAAACTTTACATTTTTAATGCAAGTGTATTTCTCAGCACACAAGTGCATGGTGAAGAGTCCTGGAATTAGCTCTGGGCAAAGCCAGTGGCCCCTTTCAGGTGCATCAGGTGTTGGATGTCTTAAGGCAGAGGTCCCGAGCCCCAGGCTAGGACCCATGGCCTGTTATGAGCTGAGCCACACAGCTTAGATTCTCGTTCTCATAGCAGCTCGAACCCTACCTCAAACTGCACATGAGTGGGCTCTAGGCTGTGGGCTCCTTTGAATGAATCCAAAACCACTACTGCCCATCAGTGGAAAAACGGTCTTTCCTGAAACCCGTTCCTGGTGCCAGAAGTGTTGGGAACCACCGTCTTAAGGGATCCAAGTCACATGACTGTTCCTACCGGGGCTCTTGTAAAATTGAGGACTTGACAAGGACAAGGCAGGGGCAGGTGAAAGCGTCTTCCCTGCACCAGCCCCAAGAGCCTGCTTCTTTCACCTCTAATGGTTCAGGCTGAGCTAGAAGATGGAGATCACTGGGAGGTCCAGATGGGATCACGCCGGACTCTTTTCACCCGCGCCTGGCATCACCAGGGACCCGTGGGGTGCACAGCTTGCTCCCGGGGGCACAGAACTGAATTGGAACTGCCGCAGGAAGCTCGAAAAGAGCTATGCACCCTGAACGTCCCGTTTGTCACCCAGAGGGGGGAAGAGGTCGATCAGGAAGTAACAGCAGGTTGGCTTGGCGGAGGGGCCGTTCCTCCAGCAGCTGCTCATTTGTAATCCTCTGTGAAGCAAAGTCTGGAGGGATGCAGTGCTGGCCAGAGGGGCCTGGGCCCCACGAGGATGTTCTCATGTGTCAGGCTGAGGAGGTGGGTGCGCTGGCCGGCACCCTTGCAGGAAGTTAGGAAGGAGCGGCTGGCAGAGGGATAGCACAGTGGCGGCCAGCTGTGGAGAAACCAGGCACACACTGCTCTGTCCCCAGCCCACAGCTCCAGGGGATCTCAGCATCCTCAACCACCCCACCCCTGTCCAGCTCCTCCACCCGCCTCTTCTCTGATTACCCGCTCCCTCCCTCCATCCTACTAGGGATTGAACCCAGGGCCTCTGCACTGAGCTACATCCCCAACCTTTTTCATTTATTGAGACATGGTCTCCCCAAGTTGTTAAGTTGCCTAGATTGGGCTCAAACTTGTGATCCCCCTGCCTCAGCCTCCCAGAGAGATTTTCTGTCATCTCTGTCTTTCTCACATCCCCACCAGTGTTCAGCACCATTTTTGCCCTTGTTATGTGCAGCAGACTCCTCAGTCTTCCCCTCTGCCTTCCAATTGGTTCTCTATATGGCAGGAATATTCTGTTCCTATAGTGTAGCTCCGACTCTGCCTGGGGGACCCGGGTCCCTTTTCATCTAAATTACTCATTTTAATAGAAGGAGGCAGGTATCTTTCTACCTGTAGCTGTGGGGATTTTGTCTTTTGTTTTCTCCGTCTGTAATGGATTTTCTTTGTCTTTCGTTTTTTCCATCTACAATGGATTTTCTTGGTGGCAAGAATAAAATGCTGCTTTCTTCTTGCCTTTTTTTTCCTCTTTGCTTTTGTTCTGTTTGGGGTTTGTCATTTGGAAATTTTTGGTGCTCTGTATCTCTCCTGGCTCTTTTTCTTTCTGAGTTTCTTTCAGTGTTGCTCAGCTTAATTACAACACTCTGACACTACTGCTAATATCTTAATCTTGTTCTTCCTGTTGTCTTCCGTGGTCCTTCAGAGGTTGGTCACTCCCAGGCCCCTGCTTCAGTGACAATGTGTAAATTATGTCACTGGTCATAACTGACAGACTTCTAAGGTCATCTGTGTTAAGGTGACATCGGAATACTAAAACCCAATCCTTTCTAGACTTTATCGAATTTCTGTCAGATGCTGGGCATCTTGCTGGTGATCTTCACCATGAGGCTGTAAAAATGGCATTTCCAGGTTCCCTTGAGGCTTAAAAAGGTGATTTCCAGCCCGGGGTCCACAGCAGCCGTGGGCCTAGTCTTCTCCGTCTCACATGGCTGGTGTGCCCTTTGTCACACTGACTTCTTGGTCCTGTGTGTGTGGCTGGAGGTACAGATTGAGCACTGCTTTTCCATAGTGGGAACCAGGACAGACAGAGATAAAAACCATATCATACTGTGTGTGGGTGATATTCATGGTGACAGCCTGGTTTGGGAATGCTCGTGTCCTGGGCCACCAGAGCTGGTTGACATGCTAGTGGGCCGTGAGTGCTGTCCAGGCCAGGTCTGAAAGCCTAGATCCTTTCAGATTCCCCATCCTAGTCTGCTTATCACACTGTCGCAGGCACCGTAGCCACCTTTAACATAGGAAGTTCCCATGAAAGGCATTCAGGAGCAAATGGAGAGGAGAGAGAATTACAGTGACCGAGAAGAGCAGGATGGAAGCGTGGAAGAGCAGCTGGCGCAGGCTGCCTCTCCATGGGACATGCAAGGCCACCCACAGCCCCTCTGTGGTTTACGTGTGAGGTGAGCCTTGGTCCTGTACCACAGCCCCAGCGCAAGCCGACCCTTGCCCTCGTCCTGTGCCGAGGACAGAACTGTCCACTCCAGCACCACTCCACCTCCACTCCAGCTGTCCATTCCTGCCCTGGGGAGCAGGAGCTGTCCCAGACATTTCCAAGGGGATTTAGACTTCATTTTTGTCCTGTGCGCTGGCTTAAGAACTTTTCTTTCTTCATCAGGGGTGACGGCATTTTAGTAGGGACAGTCCTTCCTTTGCTTGTGTGCACCTGTGGCTTTCCAGATGCCCTGCCAAAACTGTGCATACCGAGTTGTCCCTCTGATCTGTGTGGGAGTGCTCCCAGGACCCTGTGGATGCCACAATGAGGACCCTCCAGTCGCTTATGGAACATTGGATAGCATTTGCGTCCAACTCACAGACATCGTCCTGAATACTTTGAGTCATCTCTAGACTCCTTATGCCCGACACGGTGTACATACAATGTAAATAGTGTCTTTTCTACTGCTCAGGAGCTAATGACAAGAACAAAGCCTATGCCTGCTCAGGATGGACGTGGGATGTTTTTGAATATTTTGATCCTTAGCTGGTTGAATCTGTGGCCGTGGAACATGCAGAGCAGAAGGCAGCTGTATATTCATATTTATGTCAGTGGGATTGACTGAGCACTAAATGTTTTGCTGCTAATCTGCTCCTTTAATCCTCACATAGGCAGTCAGAGGAGTCCAGCAGCCATCATTTCATTCCAGAGATAAAGAATTTGGGGCATGGAGAGGTGAAATAACTAGGGCCACACCGCTGCCCACCTCCTTGCCACCATACCAGCCTGCCTTATTCCTTATGTGCTTAAACCCTTCTGATTTCCCTAAGACGTGAGAACAAGCACGTTCCCACTTCACTGACAGGGAAACTGGGAAAACCAGGCGGTGGCAGGTCCAGCACCTGGGCTGTGGCTCTTTCTGTTCTTAGTCACTGCTGTGGCTCCTCCTGACCAAATGCCCTGATGCAGATGGTCAGGGCATGTCCCCACAGGACATAGGCATTTCCTGCAGGGCACAGTGTGGGCTGAGTGTGCCCTGGCCCCTGCCTCTGTCTACAAGACCACAACAGTGACGACCTGCAGTCATAGACTTGCAAGGAGCACAGCAGCGGGAAGAGGCTTTTAACCATGGAGTGGCTGCCGTCTCTTCCAGTAACAGCACCGTTTCCCACACTCCTTGATGCAGGCCCCACAGAGAAAGCGGCATGAGGCATCGGCAGCTGTGACCTTTTAAGAGACAGGCCGTCCATCAATGGGCCACTTCACTCTGGCAGGTGCCTACAGCTTAGGTGCCCTTGGTCAAATAGCTTTGATGCTGCTTCCTGCATGGATTGGCGACCCCTCTTACACGGGGGTGGCTTGGTTGCATTTTCACTTGCAGGAGCATTCTGTGAGGACTGCCCAATCATTGCAGTTTTCAGGGATCCCTGGAGGAACAGTATGCAAGGGGTGATCGAAAAATATGCTGAATGTTCACCTTAAATAAATTCATTGCAATGGAACACACATTTCCATAAATCCCTCTCAGGATCCTCCTCCTTGCTTGGAACACACTCATCCCATCGTTCGTGTCCTTTCTGAAGCAGTTCTGGAAATCCTCTTTCCTGAGTGTCTTTATGAAGTGGGATCAAAAACATGGTGAATGCTGTTGCTGAGTCCCATCCAATGGGAAGGCAGGGACATAAAAACATGACACCGCATCCTCATCCACCTTATTCACCAGATCTGGCACTGTGTGACTTCTGGCTCTTCCCCAAAGTTAAGTTGATCATGAAAGGTAAATGTTTTGAATTGATTCAAAACTTCACGGCAGCCACAGCAGCACAACTAGACACTCAAGAAAGAGGAATTCCAGAGAGTAAATCCCCTGTCACCTGTGGGTGGAGGAAGATCCGCTGGGCAGAGGTTGTTTTATTTACCTTTCTGTAGGGCTGACACAAGTGATACTCATGACTCTCGTGCTGTCCGTCCTTTTATTCCCCTTTTGTCCTTGTGAGAGTTTCTCTGAAGGCACTGCTGATCGATCACGCTTTCTACTGTCCTTCAGTAGAATTCTTTTCTGGCTCTTGATCTTACCCAGTCACACACTGGTGTCTGGGGAGTAACTGATAACCGAGTCAGTGTCATAGCTCCTTTGCCCACATTTGAGCAACGAACAAGTTTAGAAGGAATAGCTCCTAGGTCCAGTAAAACCCACATTAGTGAAACTTAGAATATTCATACGTACAAATTTCCTTTCCTAGTCTTCATCCCCCACCAGACTTTCTCAACCTACTCAGACCTCCCAATTTTGTCCTTATCTTTTATTTTTTTCCCCATCCTGGTCAGGCAGTATCTTACCTTACAAAATCCTTTCATACTACAAATGTATCTTCATACACATAACTTCCTTTACGTCTCCTCTGTCCTCTCACTGCCTCCCTTTCATACCAAGTCTGGTAGCTACTTGAATTTTTAAATGCTTTTGACACATCTTGCCCCGCTTTGGCCTCAGTTAAAAGATGCTTATATGCCAATTAGGAGCAGCAGACTGAGCAACAGACTGGCTGAACAGTCTGTCTGAACAACAGACTTCCAAGGGACCTGGGATAGCGAAATTATCCTCGTTCAAACAGAAAACAGAGAGAAATTAACCCTGCAATTGCAGTTTAAGAACAATCTTAATGCACAAGCAATGTTTTAAGCACCCCATTTAGACCAAAATATCAACGTAGATTGGAATCTAAAAGTAAATTGACTGATCGGCCAACATGTGTCCCAGTGGGCCGTTGTTCACTCGTCACAGGGTGCTGGAAGGTTGCTTACCTCCCCTGGAATCTCTGGAGAGAAGTCAGCCCCAACTTTGTTATCTGCTAGGACCTATGGAGACTGAAAAAGTGTCCAAGAGCCATTTTCCCATCTGACATCCAGCCTTGTGGTTTAATGGGATTCCAGAAACGAAAGCCATAACTTCTGTCTAAAAGCACCGTTTTCTCTCACTTCCGGGAAGACAGGAGAGCAGTTTGGTGGGTGGGGGTGGTAGGAGAAAAGTTTGAGTGACGGAAAGAGATGTGATGCCTAAGAAGTGACCAAGGATAGAGACCCCCAATAGGGAGAGAGATCTGTAAAAGATATTTGTATGCAAAGCATTTAGGTGAGATTCCCAATACTCAGAAGCAACCAGGGCAAAACATTTCGGTTGCAGGAAAATACTCAACAAGAACATTTTGTCATCTTGTTGCTCAGGCATAAAACATAAACCTGGCAGACGCGTGGGAGATGTCTTGAGCCTGCAGAGCCTGCAATGCCCCTTCCCATGACTGAGTCATCTTGTAGCAGGCGTCTTCAAGCAGCAGCTGCCCTATTGTCATGTGACTCTGATCCATGCCCACAAGGGTGCAAATGGGTAATTAAGTCCGAGACAATAAGACTCAGGGTCTCCCTACCTCCTGGCTGGCTCATCAGGCTGAATGGGATCAGCTGCAGGAGGCTTGGGGGACTGGTTTCCAGGTTCGTGGTGTCCTGAACAAAGAACTGAGCGGGACCCTTGGAGTATCAAGCATAAGACGTATTAAAAGTAAAAGAAGCAGAGGTCTACACTCCACATGGAAATGGGCCAGTGAGAAGAGCCCACTGCCCCGTAGGGCCACACACTGTCTTTTAAGGTCCTGGGGCTGTGGGAGGGCCTGCAGTGGGGGATTGACCAGAATCATGGCTGAATGGGGCACCTGACTTGCCCTACCCATAGGGAGGGGGACTTTTTGACCTACAAGGTTTATAAAGGATGTGTCACGGCATCCAAAGCTCACTGAGGGGTGGGGATGTCAAAACTGCAAGGCAGATGAGGTTGGACACAGGCCAGGGCTGTGTATTTTTGGGTTTCCACGTGCCTAGGGGGTGCTTGGTGGGGTCAGGGTGACCTTTGTGTGTGGTTTTCTGATGTTTGACCTGATCATCCTGGCCCTGTCTGGTTTCTTGGTTCTTCCTGTTGTTTGCTTGTCCGTGCTCCGCTTCCTCCCTCGAGCTGGCCTTCAGGCCCTGGCTGGTGCTCTCTGCCTCCCCTACCCGCTCCCTCACTGTGGCCGGTGTGGCTCTGCCCCCTCCAGGTGCGCGGAGAGCTGCTGCGGGAGAGGGTGCAGCGGCTGGAGGCCCAGGAAGCCCGATTTGCAGAGTCGCTTGTTGCTCTGCAGTTCCAGAAGGCAGCCCGCGCCACCGAGACCTTGTCAGCCTACACCGCGCTGCTCAGCATCCAGGACCTGCTGCTGGAGGCGCTGAGCGAGTCCGAGGCCCTGACCAAGCTGGCCTGCAGTCGGATCCTGGAGTCTCACAGCCCGGTGAGCGTGAGCCTGGGGGAAGGGAGAGGAGGCTACTGTCACCTTTGGGTCCTTCAGGTGCAGCCTGTATGTCTAGTGAATGGCAGCTGGTCCCAGGACTTCAAGTAGACTCTGAGTATGTGCTCTGTCTACGCAGCGGGGCTGCAGACAGGATGGAGTGAGGAAACTTTAATGAGAGCCCTGTGCAGTCTCTTTACCCAAAGCAGCTCAGGTTCCCTGCCTTGGAGAAGCTGGGATTTTCGCATCTCTGAAATTCAGTGTGTCTTCTAGGCAGAGCTCATGCCAGAGTTTCCTTTGGCACTGCTGTCTCTTTGGTGGTTCCCTGACAAACAGCTGTGCATCCTTCTGCTAAGGGCATCAGACGTGCAGCTGTGCATTATTTCTTTGTATACATCTAATTATTACCAGTGTGTCTACATGCTACATTCTTTCAAGATAGGAGAAGTATATCTATGGACCAAAGCTATGGCAGTAAACGTTTTGAGGGCTAATTTAGGCCTTTTATGTGTAGATTTTAGAATTTTGTGGATTAGCTATTACTATAATAATTACTTATAAGCAGGGATTGGTGATGCATGTCCTTCCCAGTGCTCTGGGAAGCCAAGACAGGAGGAGCTCAAATTCAAGCCCGGATTCTGTAATTTAGCAATTTAGTGAGACCTTGTCTCAAAATAAAAATTATAAAAGCCTGGGGAGTTACCTCAGTGTGAATGCCCTAAGTTCAATTCCTAATACCACACAAGTAATAATAATAAAATAATAAAAATAACAACAGCTTTTTCTAGTGAGGGAGAAAAGCTCTCATCTAAGCATCAGTAATTTTTAATTATACTTCTTTATTTTTTCTGGTGGGGGAAAGGTTTATTTAGCTCACGGTTTGTAGAGTTTCAGTCCATAATCGACTGGCTGTAAGTCAGGGTGGCACAGTTCCTGGCGGGGAAAAGACAGAAAAAGCAACCTAATTATACTTCTTGAGATTATCATTTAAGCACAATTAATGATAAGTTACAGTTTTACTTAGTAATTACGCTCTGTCATACATTGTATTCATTACTGTGCACTGGGTTCTGTAGTGCTCAGTCCGTAGGTAAGTGAATTGAGGCCTGGCTCCTGGTGAAGGCTACACGGCTGATAAATGAAAGAAGCCAGACACTGAGTCTGTCTCTGACTTCGACACACTCTGTCTTGTTCATGGACTCTCCCTGTTGAGTTTACCAACGTGGGTTCCCATAATTTCTTTTGAAAGTAGCAAATGACAGGGGCTGGGGATTTAGCTCAGCGGCAAAGCGCCTGCCTGGCAAGCGCAAGGTCGTGAGTTCGGTTCCCGGTACCGGAGAAAAACCAAAAAAAAAAAAAAAAAAAAAAGTAGCAAATGACAGTAGACTCTGAAGAGCCCATCACTGTTTTTTGGCAAACCTTCTGTCCCCTGTGACAACCATTTTAGGGATAGCATCTGTCATGGTTTATCTCTGGATGCCCCCTCCAAGCCTCATGAGCTCAGGGGTAGGGCTTTTGGGAGATGATTAGGTCACAGGCCGCTGCCATCATTGGTGGATTAGTCTGCTGATGAGTCCACAGCTAAACATGCTTTCAGGAAGTGGAGCCAGCTGAGAAGAGGGGGGTCACTGGGGGTGTGGCCTGAAGAGTCTGTCCCCTCCTGGCTCCTCTCTTCCGTTCTGCCACCTGTCCACCGTGACATGAGCACCTGCGTCCCACCAGACCCTTCCCCACGCTGCGTCTGCCTGGAGCTGGCTGACCATGTAAGGACTGAAGCTTACAAAATGTGAGCCAAAGTAAACCCCTCTTCCTTGAAGTTGTGAGTGTTAGGTGTTTTGTCCCAGCAACAAGGAAAGGACTAAGACAGAACATGAAGGTTGGGTCATTGTTGGTGTTTTAACACAAACCGTTCGGGTGCTGCAGAAATAAAAATCCACATGCTTTTTATGCTTTGTGAGCTCACAGGGAATATGGAAAATCCTCAAGGGTCAGAAGTCTCAGGGCAACGGTAGCAAATCAGACGTACATTCTGCATGGGGCAATGGGGCTCAGAGATGGGGTGAAATATTAGAGGGGAAGAATAACAAATGAACTTGTAGGAGGCAGAAGGAGGGAGAGGGGTAGGAGATGAAGCTATGGACGTCCTGACAGGGGGGACACTCAGTGAGGGCTGGGGCAGGAAGCCCTGCTGCAGAGCCTGCCCCTCCCCAGCTTGCCCCAGTGCAGATGACGCCTCCCTGTGAATAGCTAATGAAAGGCCAGGCTAAGGTGGGGAGGGAATCCAGATTTGGCTCAGCGATTGAGTTAGGACATCTCCATGCTGATAAATTAAAATGGTTCCAGGCTGGCTGATGGTTCCGCTCCAAAGACAGATGGTCTGTAGAGAGAAGTGTTCTCGTTGGGGAACTTCAGGATTCTGCAGATTAAGTTCAGCCTATTGTGAGCTTTCCAAAGGCGAAAAGTCACAGAGCCCATTCAGGACCTCTATGTGGTAGAAGCAAAAGGGTAATAGATGAAGATCCCAGAAGACTTCAGAGAGTTGACTTACCAGCACAGAATTTAAAATAGTGACTTGTGAAATTATTAAATAAACTAAGTGTAATACAAAGATTATTTTAAAATCTTACCTGGAGCATATAGTGAGTCTAAACTTGCCATGTGTTTAAAAAAAAAAAAGACTCAAGATGATAGGAAATTAACAGTGGTTGCTGCATTACATATTGTGTTGTTTTGTTTTTGTCTTTCTGTTGTTTTGTTTTTTTATTTTCTTTTTAAAAGAAAAAAGTGGGAGAGAAAGGAAAAAAAGACTCATAATAACAAAAAGAAAAATTGATAGAATAGGGAGCAATCGGTAAATCCATCATCACAGTAGGAATTTCAGCACCCCTGTTCTAGTGTGATTTGTTGGTCATAAAACACAAGATACGGGTGAACTGAGCAGTTCATAAAAAGAAGTTTTTAACGTACATTTACAGAACCTGCTAGCCAGCAAGTAAATGGTTAAAAATAATTGGCTGTGTGATACCATTGTGCCTACCTTTTGACAAATTCCAATTAATTTTAAATCAGTTTTACACAGGGAATTATAAAAAATCCATACTTGGAAAATTTTAAAAACATACTTGTGAATAATTCATGGGTCAAAAGAATAGTAGGAATTTTACAATACATAGAGCAGAATGTGCCTATGATATATCATAATACATGGAATTCAGCTAAAGCAGTTTTTAGAGGGAAATTTGTATTCTAACCTTGCATCAGAAAAGTAGAAACTCCCATAATTAATATCACATAAGATATGACATTAGAGGGGAAATAACAAGTGAACCTTAAGAAGCAGAAGGAAAGAAAATAGCCTAAATAATATTAAAAATGAAACTATAGTGAATCAATACAGTAAAAGCCAGTTTTGCAAAATGAAAGTCTTAATGAAAAGTGCAAATCTCTAAGCAAGATTGCTGAAAAAAATAAGGAACCAATAAATAATATCTGAAGTTTAAAAAGTAATGTAACTATCGTTGCAGTAGAGTTTTAAAAAATAAGAGAATACTATGAACAACTTTATATAGATGAGTCAAAAATGAAATAATTTCTAGAGCAATATAAGTCACAAATATTAACTGAAGTAGAAAAGAAGTTTGTATAGTCTTAATACCGTGAGTGAAGTTGGCTCAGATGTTAAAATGTCCTGCTGCACACACAGTTATACCAAAGCCCCGTAGTTTTGTAGATACGCTCCGCCAAAACTTAAGGCAGTGGTGGCAAACCTACGGCTTGTGTACTGCAGTGGGCACGCAGAGCCCTTCCTGTCAGCACATGAGCCAAGCCACCCCATCTTGCCCCAGCAGCCAAGCGTCTAATAACAGTGCCCAGAGGTGCAGTGTTGACACTTGGTGCTATATAAGAGGTTTTGGAGTTGCAGTTCGGGCGCTTGGTATCCAAAAGGTTTGCCGTCACTACTGTTATGGTTTGTGTCTGGATGTCCCTTCAAGCCAGTCATGGGATGGGCTTTTAGAGTTTATGATTGACCCATGATCCAATGCTGGGATTATGGGTATGAGTGCTACGCCCTCCCTGGGGCAGATTTTTGCATATGTAAGGGAGAGAAAGAGGCTGCTTGCCACCACTCCTCCCTTTTGCTCTTGTTGCTTTTGCTGTCTTCCGCTGCCATGAATGGTTGCCCTGTGCTATGTGCCACTCTACCTTGAAGCCAGCTGAGTATGGACTGAAACCTCCACAAACTGCAGGATAAATAAACCTTTCCTTCCTTAATTCTGGGTGTCAGGTATTTTGTCTCAGCAACGAGAGAAAAGTAACCAAGATAACTACCTTCAGGTATTTGTCAGTCTTGTATACACATTATTTATTATTCCTGGTGTTAGAAAAAACAGGGAATAGTCTTCAGCTCATGTTTGATTCTCAGATAACCTTGACACTAAAAATGAGTCCAAGAAAACAGCTGCATTTGTGAAAATAGATGTACAATTGGTAAATAAAACACTATCTGCATAATCCATCCACTTATAAATAATTTAAATGCATCATGGCCAGGTTCAGTTTATCTCAGGAATGTAAGGTTGGTTTAACATTGAACATCCATTTACAGAATTCACCTGATTAGCATGTTAAAGGAGAAAACAACCCATAGGATCATTTTGGTATATACAGAATAAATATTTGATTGAATTTAAAATGCGTTCAAGATGAACCTCTTCAGCAGATCAATAATAGGAGGAAATCTCAACAGAGCATTTACCCCAAACCCACAGCATGTGGTATGCTTTGAGGCAATAGCTTGTAGGTGGCCCACAACCCTGAATCCCAAGGGGAGGGAATGAACCCTTCAGAGGCAAGGGCAGGTCCAAGGTCGTTTAGTGAGCTAGGGCAGAGTTAGACACTAGAGCCCCTGGCTTCCAGCTCACTATTATCTACTCACCCCAAGTGCCTGAGAAACACTCAGTATTCAGCTCTACCAGGCTGATCTATGTTGTTTACAAGACCAGCCCAATTTCCAGTAGTGCCGGTGGAGTGCAGCACTCCCCCTTGCCATTTGATCTTCAAGCTCTTTTCAGCACTATCCAGGTGTCTTCCCTCCAGGTCAGGTCATTTGGAAGAAGAGGATCCTTGTGTCCTCACTTGGAAGCCACAGGTGGTGAATCGGCTGACACTGTGTTGAGTAAATCGGTGGCAGTGGACACCCCACGCCTTTTCTGTGGCTTTGCATTTGAAGGGAAGGCAGCCTGTTTTGCTCCAGATATTGGACTTTCACTCTGCAATGTGATTGTTCTGTGTAAACCACTTTCCTGTTGGAAATGAGCTTTTAAGCTGTTAAACATTCCAGAGAATTAAAGAGCATGAAATGAAATGCTTTGGAAGAAATGACTCCTAAGAAAACTATATCCAGCGCTTCTCATTTGATGAACGATTTAAACTCATTTCGTGAGACTGGAACATATGCAAGGTGTAATTGGATGAGTGCCAAGTGGCAACGATGGGCGCATTCAAGTAGGGTGGACTTACTGGGGAACAGACGACGTGACCCTGACCTGACTGTCTCCACTGTCTCTGCATTCCAGTTGAAAGTGCTGACACTTCCCCACTCTTCCCCTCTACCTCACTGCCCGCTGATTCTGCCCGAGTTTTCTCACTTCCAACTTCTGCTCAGCTTCACCGCTCTGACAAAGCTAGAGCTCAGAAACAAACATAGCACGACTCTGCCAGTGAGTACTGAGCTCACACCAAGGCCTAGGTACTATGCAAAGTGTCTCAGCCTGGTGTCCACCCCATTCTGCAGGCTCTGGAGGAGGCTGAGGGAGGGAAGTCATTTCACCAGGGTCCTCCGTGTGAGAGCAGACCCCTGCGCTTGGGGCCCTGGTCCTGTCCAGCATCATGCCTCCCGGCTCCCTCCTTCCCTGATCCCGTCTCCCCTCCATGCTGCTGCACAGGGATGTCTCTGGAAAATAAGTGAGACTTCACAGCCCAGCCCCCAGCTCTGCATTTAAAATCTCCCCTTCCTTCCTTACCTCCCACGGGCTCTGGGCTTCAGTGCCCCTCCCTTCCTGCTGCTCGTAGCCCTTGAGACACATTCAGGTGTCCCTTTCTGCAGGACCTCTCCCTAGTGTGCTTCAGCCACACCTCCTTGCAAATGCCTCCTGCACCTATTCTAAGTGAGCCCCAATACTGCATCCTCAGGCAGCGTGGGGCTCTCCCAGTTCCTCCGTCTGAGCTTCTGTGATCCCAGATGATAGTGCTCCCTATCTCTGTACCTGTGTGTACAAGCTGTCTCCCTCACCACGCTGCGCGTTTGCAGAATCGGGGAGCTGAGTCTCATTCACGCCAAGCCCCTGTGCCCAGCAAAAGGCCTGGAACTCCATTTTCTTTCCCCTGTTCTTTTTCTCTCTTTCTTTCTCTGTCTTTCTTTTCTTGCGTGTTTACTTTTTCTTCCTGCCTTTTCATTCCTTCATTTCTCCTTCCTTCCTTGCTTCTTTCCTTTATTTTCTTTTATCTAACTAGCTGTATATCCATCTACCCATCCATCCCTCCATCCCCCCATCCCCC